TCTGACTCAAAAATGGTTAGTTTGCAAGAATGTGTGGTTGGTTGAGTTTCTGAAAGTGGTTTTTAACTGATAGATTTCATATTTGAGTTGTCCACTTATCTCAGGTGAAGATGTCAAACCTACAGGAGTACATATCGTTTGTTGTCGATGCTACCATAAGAACAGGGATTTCCAGACAAGTAGAAGCTTTTAAGTCAGGTTTTGATCAGGTAAATACCTTTTTTGGATCAATATGCTCATGAATTGTACTTCCCTAGGTATCAAGAAGGAAAAACAAACAAGTACTTTTTGTGTCACAAATGGCAGGTTACAATTGGAGTACTAGTTTGTGACCTTGCACATTTTTCTTGGTACTCCTTGTCTTGCACATTTTTCTTGTACTCCTTTTTTGCCTATTGCTGGTTAATTGGCCATTGATCAAGCTTGATAACATATTATAGCAAACCAGTTCGCTTATTTTGGTTGGAAAAATGATGTCATTAGTGTTCTAAGTTCGGCGCTAATAATTTTTTTCATGTCTGACCTTTATTTCCAATTAGAGATGTTACTGTTATTATTTTTTTATTATTCAGGTTTTCCCCATCAGACACCTTCAGGTGTTCACTGAAGGTGAATTAGAGCGCTTATTATGTGGGGAGCGTGAGCTTTGGGATGTATGTGCTTTAGTTTTTATTTTTATTTTTATTAGTAACGCTTTTAAAGTTCACTGTCTTGCATTACCACTAAACTCTACTTTCTTGAATTTTGTCTTTTTTTGGTTGAAGTACAGTCAAATGCGCTTGTGGACCACATCAAATTTGATCATGGGTATACTGCTAGTAGTCCTCCTATCCTGAATGTCAGTAGCATTTCCCCCATCATCCATTGTTTTAAGTTGTTTTATTTCGTTCTGTATGTGTAAATTACTCGTTCTCAACTTCACAGTTTCTGCAAATTATACAAGAGTTCAACTATGAGCAGCAGAGATCATTCTTGAGGTTTGTGACAGGAGCACCTCGGCTCCCTTCTGGGGGGCTGGCATCTCTCAACCCAAAATTGACTATTGTCCGCAAGGTCTGTAGAAAAATTATTCTTTACATCGCATTTTCTGTTTTCAGCTTCTGAACAGCTGAAGTTATTGCATTTCTATTTTTCTCCTGACAGCATTGTAGCAAATGGGTTGACACTGACTTGCCAAGCGTGATGACCTGTGCAAATTACCTGAAGCTGCCACCTTACTCATCAAAAGTCCTTGACCTTACTTTTGTCGCTCTATCCTTTTTTGGTTCTTCTGTGTCAAATTACTTGCTGCTAAACTATCTAAATATACTCTCGTCTCGGTATTTTGCAGGAACGGATGAAAGAGAAGCTTCTGTATGCCACAACAGAAGGACAAGGCTCTTTCCACCTCTCATAGCCTCTTATGGGCAGGCAGACAAGGTAGGTAGCAGATGTGAATATTCTCACATACGTGGCGCAGGTGTACATAAGGTGACTTGGTAGGTATTAGACAGTGTGTGGTTGGGGGAGCTTATTGGGATGGGCTCAAGGGGAAGCTCCAGCTTCACGCGATAATACGCTAGCGAGTTGATTCTGATTGTTTAGTTCGAGCTGTAAATTATACAGGGAAGCGGTGTGGTTTTTAAGGAATTAGAGTAGGTTAGTGTTCATATCCTCTGTAATTATCCATGTATAGCACTGAGGTGTGCTTAAATATCAGATACCTTTGAATTTTAATTCATCCCGAAAATATTTGAACATTATTGATTATTAGCTCTACGGTGTAGTATCAGTTTTCAAGTATCGACACCTCTGATGATTGTGATGCTTGTGATGGAGCGTGTGTAGCTTTGTGTCTCCAGAGATTTTAATATACCCCTCCACAAAATTATCGCCCTACTGAGCAGTAGATGATCGAAATAGTCATGGTAGTTATGGAGGATGAAGAAAGCTGGTACTGCTACCCAAGGGTCTGCATTTAGTGCTCCCAAATATCGTATAAGGATAACAGGTGTTAGAACTTTCTGAAAAGTCAATCAGGGGCTAATGGCACAGAAAGTTCTACCTAGCATCCTTCTTTTCATTGACAATTGCGAGACAGGCAGGGTGATGGCACACCAGATTTCCTTAACTGTTAAAAGAGGAAGCTATTTGAACGTTTCTTCTTTCCATTTTGATAGTCACTTAGATATCTGACTGGTGGAAAGAAGAGAAAGTTGGATATTCCTACATTGCAATATTTTGATGCAACATATTTTGCGTTTCCAAAAGAATAATTGCTAATTAAGCAACTATCTAAAACCAAACTTCTCCAGCCATTTCTATTTTCAACTTATTTTTCTTGACTAAATCACCTATTATTAAAATAAATTTTATATTAAAAAAAAAAAACGCTCGGTGGGGTACAGCGCTAGGCCAAATTAGAGGACAAAACATAGCCAACGTAGTACTTTCCTTCTCCACCCGAAGGAGAAATTTGAGAAAAGAAAACGAAAATGTCCATCTTATAATATCCATCTTATCGTCATTTCTTCTTCCCTCTTTGTTCTCGATTCGTACAAAACCTCACTTGCAGCCTTTCTCCCCGCCTTAAATGGACGAGCGATGAACACTACGCCACCACCGTCCTCGAGATCAACCCCAAGCTCAGACCCACCAGTATTCATACAAACTGCAACTCTCCTGCGTTGGGTTTCACCACTACCTTTCTCAACCACACTCTTTCCTTCAATCTCCACCTCTTCCTCCGCTATCACATCCAAAACTGCAAGCCCTTTTTGGGTTCAAACCACTAGCAAACCATCCAGCATCTCATTGGCTGGAACCGGCACAGACACCAGGCCTAAACCCCCGTCCCATTCCCGAGACCAGAATCTCTTGAGACTCCTTCGCTTGAGGAAAACAGAGGAGGCCTGGCGTACACTCAGTCCGAGCACTTACCTGACCCCACGTGCCTTAGCCGTTTGGTCTGCCAATTATCGTACCAAAACACAAACTTGGGCCTCACCCGAGCGCAGGCAGTCATCCGACGCTTGAGAAATGAGCGACAGCTGCATCGTCTGGATGCCAATTCACTCGGCCTGCTCGCTGTGGCTGCTGCTAAGGGAGGCCATATCCTCTATGCCACGTCCATAATCAGGTCCATGCTAAAATCGGGATATCTACCACATGTGAAAGCTTGGAGTGCAGTCGTTAGCCGCCTTGCTGCTTCCGGTGATGAAGGTCCGGCTGAGGCTATAAAACTCTTCAGGTCAATTGCTGGTAGAGTCCGGAGGTTTGCTGACCCTACGGTGGTTAAGGACTCCAGGCCAGATACAGCTGCTTATAATGCTGTGCTTAATGCTTGTGCAAATCGTGGTGACTCAAGGAAATTTTTGCAGCTATTCAGTGAGATGCCTGAATTTGGTTGTGAGCCAGATGTTTTGACATACAATATTATGATCAAGCTCTGTGCGCGGGCTGACAGAAAGGATTTGCTTGTTTTTGTACTTGAGAGGATCATCGAAAAGGGGATCCCAGTGTGTATGACAACTCTACAATCACTTGTTGCAGCTTATGTTGGTTTTGGTGACCTAGAGACAGCGGAAAAAATGGTTCAAGCAATGCGAAAGGGCAGAACTGATCTTTGCAAGATCTTGAGGGACTCAATTATGGATGATTTAACTCCTAATGAAAGCGATATATTTGAGGAATTGCTTCCAAATTCCATTGATTCTAGGAACAGTGAGCCACGAGAGTTACCTAAACTCTTTGCACCAAACACAAGGATGTACACCACCTTAATGAAAGGTTACATGAGGGCAGGTCGCATTTCTGATACAGTGAGGATGCTTGAGGCCATGAGGCACCAAGAAGATAGAACCAGCCACCCAGACCATGTTACCTATACAACGGTTATCTCTGCATTTGTGAGAGCCGGGCTGATGGATCGTGCCCGAGAAGTTCTAGCTGAAATGGCAAGGATTGGTATACCAGCCAACCGAATCACTTACAATATCCTCCTCAAGGGATATTGCCAGCAGTTGCAGATAGATAAAGCTAAAGAACTGACGCAAGAGATGATTAATGACTCTGCAGTAGAACCCGATGTGATTTCCTATAATACTTTGATTGACGGATGCATTCTGGTTGATGACAGTGTGGGAGCTCTTGCCTATTTCAACGAGATGCGAGCAAGAGGTATTGCTCCCACCAAAATTAGTTATACGACTTTGATGAAAGCTTTTGCCTCATCAAGTCAACCAAAGCTTGCTAATAAGGTATTTGATGAGATGCTAAAAGATCCCCGAATAAAGGTTGATATGGTTGCCTGGAACATGCTGGTGGAAGGATATTCTAGACTGGGAAAAGTTGAGGAAGCAAAGAATGTAATTCAAAGTATGAAAGAGAGAGGGTTTTACCCCAATGTGGCAACTTATGGCAGTCTAGCAAATGGTATTGCCCTGGCCAGAAAGCCAGGAGAAGCCCTTCTACTCTGGAACGAAATAAAGGAGAGGTGTGGAATGCAAAATGAAGGGGATATCTCCAATTCTTCTACAAATCTTCCACCACTGAAGCCTGATGAAGGTCTCTTAGATACTCTGGCTGATATCTGTGTCAGAGCTGCTTTCTTTAGGAAAGCCCTAGAGATTGTTGCATGTATGGAGGAGCATGGGATACCACCAAATAAATCCAAGTTCACCAGAATCTATGTGGAGATGCATTCTAGAATGTTTACTAGTAAGCATGCTTCAAGAGCTAGGCAAGACAGAAGAAGGGAAAGGAAGAAAGCAGCTGAGGCTTTCAAGTTCTGGTTGGGATTGCCAAACTCCTTTTATGCAAGTGAGTGGCACTTCGATCCTGTTAATGAAGATGATTAGGTTCTGATTTTGGTTGACCACATTATGAATAACAATTGCACAATGGAGATGTCATTGTTGAAACAACTGGAATTAGGTCATCCCTTAATAGATATAGAACCAAATACAACTTATATAGAGTCTAGCTATGAATTGCAATGGTAGAATGACATTTTGTCCATCTAGAAAATTGTTTCCATTCGACTAACCCTACCAGTAACTAGTGATTGTAGCAAGCAAGGGTTTTTCATGATGATTGTAAATGCAAATCTGCAATTATATCTTCATGGGACTTGGCTACCTGAATATCTAAGCAGGATACAAGTATCCAAAACATTGACATGAAAGCTTCAGCCGCAAAAAAGCTTGAAAAAAGTAATAAATTGCTGTGTAAAATAGGAAAGCAAAGCTAAACATGATATGTCATTGAAGATTATAACTGTACATCACTGTCTCTAAACATGTGAAGAACAGGCTCGTGTACCAAAATTAAGCTGCTTCCAAAGTGATGCTTGCGTATTCTAGGCATTCAGATTAACGTACCAGTATCTCAGTTTCATGAGTCAATGCTGTACAAATGATTGGATAATTAGAAGGAAATACAGCACTAACAAATACTATGAAAGAGAGTGCAGGATAAAAAGAGAGCAGAAGGTAGCATTTATGGAACTTTGCATATGAAGGGGAAATAGAACTGGGAAAGAGAAGCTTCATTACTTGACATATTTCCTTCAAACAAAATGCCTTAAACTGATACATCTAACTTTCATGCTCATGATAATGGGAGCCTATAAACATGTCAAACTCACACACACCATTAAAAGATGCTCTTCAGCCAGAAAATTAAAGATTCTGGTGTAACTAAAATAGGGGAGAGAAATGGGAAAATAACTTAACTGTTGAGGTCCAATTTAGCCCCTTGCTCTTGATGACTGACTGTGTGAATAAGACGATGACAGCACCTGCATTTAGGAGAAGTTTCATGACATTCTAAACTGCAGTTCGTCAGCAAAATGTGGGACTAGTCATTCTTTCAAACACCAACGATTAAAATTTTGTAGAAATTAAAACCCCATGGGCATGGGAAGAAAAATGATCGAGGAGAAGGTTTTAGATTTTCCCGGAAGCTTCTTATTGATATCTTGTTCAAATGAGGCTCGATTATGTTAGAGTAAAGATCAATTTGTATCAGCCTACTGCAAAACCATGCTTACATGTGACATTCATGCAAGTTCCATGTACCCAAGATTTATACAAGTAAAAGATTTAAGTTTCCTGCACAAATAAACTTGCATGGGTGTTATTATTAAACAAAAAGAGTTCATGACACATTGATAGTCAAGAATGTAATCCAATGACACACTCAAAATATGATACATTCACATGGAGCTGATAAAAGGCACACATTACATTGCTGGTCATGGAAGTCTAACTGATTTTATGCTAAGCAGCTCAGCTCCATAATATAAAATGCAATGCCAAAAATTCTTGATCTGGGTTAACATTGTAATGTACCTGATATGTCTTAGGCCCCTTCTTTAGCAAATAACCAACACTGTTTAGATTTTCCACAAAAGTGTCTATATCTGGAACCCTTAAGGCAATCCTGTCTGCCAGGCTGTATAATTCCTGAACAAAAGACTGTCAACATGTTTAGATTTTCTTGCATGATGGCTATAACTTCCAAACAGAAAAAGGGGAAATTTCATAAAAGAAGATCAAAACCACATACGGATATAGTAAAGCAATCCTTTTGCTGTAACTCTGATTGCTTGTTTAAGGCACTTAAAAACCGTTTTGCTTCTTTCTGTTGGCTCATTCCACCACTTCGCCCAAAATCCACAAGGCCATGTTCGTCAACATACTTATCATACAAAGATTCTTTCATTATTTCCACAACATCCTGCAAAGTTCATGCACCAACATCAAATCATAAATCGTGTTTATGGGTGCTCTTTACCGAAATGCACCAGTGCCAACTTGTGCAGCATCAAATCCTTGATCAAGTCATGGAAAACTATCCTCTCAAATAACAACTAATAATTGTTTCTTTTTCTTGGTTTTTCTCACTTGAGGCAATAAAAGTTAGACAAGCAAGCAGTAAGCAGCACTCTGATGGCTTCATACACTGACTTTTTAAGTATTGTGAAATGATGCCATTGTTTTTAGCAGAAAAGTTAGCAGATAGAACAGAAACAGTGAAGTGATACGAAAAACATCACAAAAAACGATCAAGGGCAATAGTAAAGGCAACCACAGTGAACCAGGTTACTAATCTTAGTAGTTACCTTCTACAAAATGTACATACCATGGCATCTTGAACGGTTATTTCATCTCTTAAATCCACCCTAGCTCGAGCTTCTGCCAGCCTTACTAGACTTTCTAATTGCCTTGCTGTTATTGGTGTACCATCAGCAGATGTGTTATGGTCTCTTAATTGCAAATAAAACCTCTGCAGGATTTCAGCAGCTGGTCTTGTCATCCTGTAAGAGAATTGACAAACCAAACTTATGGAAAAAGTATCCAACATATCCACATGAAAATGCAAAATTAAAAAGTAAAACCAAAGAATGCTTTGTAATTACAAGATGCATACAAATCACCTAGGGAAGATATATGTCTTTGCATAAGCAATGTATTTACGGAGAAGAGGACCAGGCAATGGAACAAAATCACTGTCCTTTGGATCAAGCCTCAACCTAGCAGCTAGAGAATGGCTTCTTAAAGTAAGATTGATGCATTTGATACGTTGTGATGCTGCTTGTAGTGAAAGATGAAGCCTTTCAGAATAACATCCATGTTACCTATATTCCAGTGGATATCCAAAGTCGAAGAACTACCTCTGCAAAGCCTTTTAGCTGCTGGTGAATTTTGTCCATTTCCAGTATGAAGCTGCAAGAAATGCTTCAGTTTAAAATTCTTGTTTGAGTTTATGTATTTACATGTAAGTGGTACTACATGTTACTGAATAGAATCTAGACACGCAAAGAAATGGCAAAACTATTTCCAGACAAATGAAACTGAAATATAGGCCAAGAATCATGACAACAAAAAGCTGCTGAAGCAATTAATGTACTTTCATTCACTAGCTTAGCAATTAGACCATGTTAAAAACTGAGAAAACTCATTGCAAAGGAATATCATCTTGATACAAGAGGTAGTACTACACAAGGTTTGTAGGATATTGGCACTAAAAAGTTTTGGATTGTCAACAACCCTCAAAATGGTTACTTCAGCAGTTCTCTTATTATATTCCTCATTCTTCCATACAAACAGGCCCCTATTACATTAGAATTTTCAAGATGCATACCTGCTGCAGGCAATCATGAAGAAAGCATGAAAGTTGACGTGAGTAAACTAAATCTATTCAGTAACCTCTTTCTTTTTTGCTTACAAATGTCAGTTACTTGAAATAGGAAAATAAACTCTTATATACACAGAGAGGCACAACTTACTGACATAATGTGCTCTGAAAGGCGCTTGTCCAGTAGTTCATCAGGCTTGTCAAGTAATATAAAAACTAGATCAAATCTTGACAAGAGAGCAGCATTCATCTTCAAGTTCTCATTCACAGTTTTAGCGCGGCTGCATTTCAAACCCCAACACATGTATCACACAATTCTAAAGTTCCAAAAGGCATGGGAAATGATGTAAAAACCATCAAGTCATATGTAAACCAAATATAAACATGCAAACACATACAAAAACGAAAATGTATGTGAAAATTTATGCAAAATTCAAAGAGTAAAAGGCAGGAACATAAATAACTGTTCTCTTTATTTTAATTTTCTGATGACACGAATTGGACAGAGCCAAGAATAACAGCACGACAGGTGCATTAATAGAAAAGAGCATAGGAAATCTGCTCAAGAATTAGACAAAACTCAATGTCACCTATATGCCTTTTCTTGATTTAATTTGTTGATTATTGGTTAAAATGATGCAAAGCAAGCTTCAGGTCCCTATTTCAGTAACAGCTGCTAATTTCACTATTACAGTTTAACACAATTATATATTCATCATTATTCAGCTTTGGAAAAAAGCAAAGCAACTCTCAAACAAGTATGACATCAATGTGAAGTACTTATAATGACCCCCAGCAGGGTTTGCGGCAGCTAAAACAGATGTTCGGGCTGATAAACTTGCCACAAGTCCTGCCTTTGCAACAGAGACACACTGTTGTTCCATAGCTTCCAATAGAGCCTGTATTATATAATTGATGAGTATGATCAAAGAGGCCTTATAAGTGCAAGTACAATTATGGATACCATGGTACCTGATGTTCTGCTGACATTTTGTCAAACTCATCAATACAGCATAATCCACGATCTGCAAGTACCATTGCACCTGCAAAAACAAAGAATATGTACCTGAGAAATAGATTGTAAAACCATGTAGTGAATGATAAGAAGTTAAGATTTATCCATTGCCATTTACTGAAGCTTGAGGTGATCCAAAAATAAATAACACACCTACAACATTGGACAAAGAAGTCCAAAAATCAATATTAAAGCATTATATGTGCTTCAATTCTGGGTAGAAAAATTAGATTTACTATTTGAATGGCATAATGCGCTACATCTCCTGCTATATAACAGAGGAACACTCAAAATTTTTCCATTTTTTCTTATTTGATTAGGCTAGATAATTTTGTTATGTTATGAAATTCTTTAAGTTAAATGAACTCTAGTAATATATTAAAGATCATAGACATTGAGAAACTCTATAGCTTACAAAAATCAAACCACATGCAACCAATACTTTATAAAAATGAAAGTTCTCTTCCTACCAATTATTTGATTACTTTGACAAGTCAACTCTTATTAAAGTAATTGGATGTACGATCTTTGATGCACATTTCAGATAATCAACACATTACCAGCCTCAAAAGCATAGTCACTTGTCATATGATCCTTCACCACAGCAACAGTTAGGCCTGCATTAGTTGTCGCATTACCACATACATATATGCCACGTGGAGAAATAGAAGCTGCTGCTTGGAGTAGTTGACTTTTTCCCATTCCAGGATCACCTAATGGATCATGCTTAGCAGTAATTAAGTTGAAATTTCTATAAAGAACCATATATGCCAATTAACTTAGCACACAACCTGACAAACACAGCTTGAATGAGGAAAAACTATTACCAGTTAGACATATGGGAGGGGGGGAGGGCGAGAGAAATGGAAACTGCATACCAACAATCAGTACATGGATGTCACCTCTGACAGGCACCTTATTCTGATCCATCGAATGCTTCTGCACCCCTCCAAACAATGCTAATGTGATTCCCGCTGTTAATTCCCCAAAAGAAATGTCACGAAACAGGTTATCAGTATAAGTACTAACAGATACATAATTAAGGAATTAAAAGCATAAAAGGTTCTATATGGTTTTACATGAAAGAGAAACAATGTTGAAAAAAGTGAAGTGAAATTTAGTAGCAAATCCAAAGCCATAAACATCCTCTTGTTCCATTTTGTTTTGAGAAATTTGTCATGTACAACCTTAAGCATGCAAGAAGCATCCCTACTCAGTCAAACTTAAATCAAAATCAGAACTATGAAATCCTGGAGTCCAGAAAATTCTTAGGTGTGTGTATTTACTCTCTTGAAGTAATCACCATCACAAAAAGACTGGTGAAAAACGATGCCAACAAATCCTGCAAAGGATGGAATTAAATTTAACAGTAATTCCACCATGCCAGTTTACCCGTTTAGTTAGAAATATAGCGCACTATATGGGCATATGTGGTAAAGGACACTTCATCCAGATGAAAATCAGATGGCTTCAAGTGAAAGACAGATATGTTTATTGACCTCTCATTCTCTTTAGAGCCAAAAATAATATTAATTTATTGCAGGTGGGCGCCGACAATGTTAAGGGATTGAAAAACAAAACAATAAATGCCCAATAAAAGCACCACAACCATGGAAAAAAACGTGCAGGTTCCAGGACAAGTTGTGCAGTAAAAATAATGAGCCAACTCAGAGGGATATATGAATATTTTACATTGTAAAGCACGATGGTAGATCTAATAACAAACAGTAAAGAGATAAAATTTACAGTAAAACCAAACTAGTGGACAGGCATAAAACAAATCTATTGATTGTGCTTCAACTATAATTTGATCCTCAGAGAGGACAAGAACAACAGTGAAAGACAACATAGTATTGTATGGTCACCTATTCTCACTGCTTGTTACTGGACATAGATTTGAAGGAGATGAAAAAAGAGGCGAAAAAGATGTACTAGTTCTTTTAATGGCATCCAGTGAGAAGGAAAAGCTGAAGACAAAACGTCCAAGTACCTTTCACAAGTTCATGCCCATAGATTGACGGGCAAATAGATTGAAGTATTTGCCTAAAGACATCTGAACCGTATTCCTCAGAAAACTTCACAATAAATTCCAAATCTCTTGGAGAAAATGAGAATAAATCAGACAGCTGTGTTGTTCTAGCATCAACTTTAGCATCTTGCAAATCCTCCGGTAATGATTGAGATTTCAAATTTTTTATCGAAACAACTTCTAGGTACAAAAAATATAGTCCTTGATTCTTGCCTTTTGATTTTCCTGCAGTATAAAGAATACCATCAAACTAAAATAAAGTCCAAGGTATCATACACATGCTAAGCTAACTATGCAAATCTAAACAGCAATTTGATAGCAAACATTATAAAAGGCAAATAAACTTTCACATGTTTACTTATTACATCTGATTGAACATGTCTACTGGGTGATAAATAGATTTAGTGTTATAACAGCCTCAAAGTGGCCAACAAACCTTAATCTCCTACAGCAATAGCATTAATAATACGCTGAAGAGCTATGAAAAATATGCTGCTTGCATCTCAAAAATTCTACTCTTACTTGAATAAAGGAGGCTGTAACAGGGAAGGTGTAGTACAGACCAAACGAAAGAGCAATAGAAAATCAATCATGGATAATTGATGACACACTTTACCTCCCCCAATATCCATGTAATTGTTGATCATCCTGATAATACCAGTCACCGTCACGACGTCCCCAGGGATACATGCATCTACAAGGTCTTCGGTCAACTCGCATTCAACAGTCCTAGGCACCCTTCCTTCTTCGTGATGTTCATTCTTCAGCAGTTCCTGAAGTCTTATAAATAAGAGAAGTAAAGCCTTATATACAAAAAAATGAGAAATATACTACGATACTTTAAAGTTCTAGGGGCAAATAGGGAGATATGCACGTGAAATGCATCTTTGATCGCTTACCTTATTTTCTGAAAGTCTATTGGTCGAGCAGTACATCTTAAAGGATCAAAACTCCTACTTCTGCAACCTTGGATTACACAGATTGAAGGAGGTGAAAATTTTCCATCGGGAAAGTTGCAAGTGATGTTGGTTCCACACTTTGTACAGACAAAGCACATTTGTCTAACCAGAGGCCTGACTGTGCTAACTTTTACAACAGTACCATGTACAGATACAAGCCTGTCTATTGCATAAGCAAACGATAATATTTACTTAGCTTAGAACTTTAATTGGATTTTCTCTACAGCATATATAACTAGAAACTCAGGCATAACTGTAGATTGGAATTACCAATATAAGCAGCTTTTAAGTTCTTCAATGCAATCAACGATTCAGGATAGTTGTGGAGACGGATATTTATCTTTACAAATTCCTCCATCATATTGCTGTCCCATTTCATCATTAAAACCTTTTTGGATTCAAGAATAAATGAAAATGTAATTGAGTGGGTCACCAATATAAGTTAGGTCTAGTTGAAACTTGGTAGGATCATTTTATACCTTGTGCACTGCAGCACTCAAGCACAACAGGGCATCTTTAGGATTTTCCTCCATTGCTCCATACAGTTCTTTAATCTGACAAATGCTTTTTAACAGCTGGAAGTCGAGCGATAAGAAGCATAAACCATCATCATTTTTTACCTATAAACATCATCAATAGGACATCTTAAATTAAAATCGAAACTAAGTTGACAACCAGAAAATAATAACATTTAGATGCACTGTGCAAAGAAAGCTGGATGTTGAAATTGAATGTTGAAGAGATATATGCCAAGTTGAAGGGGGAATCAGGTGAGTTCAGCACCACAAATTCACCATTTGATTATCTTAGAAACAGAAAGTCCTAAACTCCCATTGCTTGGAAGGGAAGAAAAAGTTTCTGATGTTCCATCATGCAATGCGTCAGTTTAATTATTTGTCCACTTATCCCTTGCTGTTGCCCTAAAAAGTACTTGAAAAGAAATTTAAAGAACTGCGTCAAAACATTTCTGGCCTGTAAGCTTTATTGTACATTTAACGTTTTATATCTTTTACGCCCTCAGAGACGAACTCACAAGTCTCCTCCCAGGAGTCTAATTCTCAAGACAGGTATTCCCTGTACCATTCCAGACATCCAGGCGTCTATGTTGCTGATTCAAGACATGCAAGTTTATGTTACTCAATTTGAGGAAAATGCTGTATAAAATTTTTATAAAAAAAATGACTATCCAACACCTGAAATCCTATGCCAATGCACGCTCTCAACCAATTTCTGATAAATACCATATAAGCAGCTGTCAAAATTTTTTAACATACTCTTTCTTTTAGTTCAACATTGCTCACATACGTATTTATGAGCTATTTATGCTGCTATAGCAAAACTGAGGTCCTCATTGATATTTCAACAATGCATGTACAGCAGAATTCCTCCGAAATATCTAGCTATACTTTACAATCAATGCCAAAAACCAAGAAAAAGAACGATCAAAAAGACAGAGAAATGAAAACATTACTTTAAACTCCATGCGTCCACTCACAGCTCAAAATCTAGAATTGATTTTTGCATACATTTTTCTAGGTGATAAAAAAGTCGACCAAGATGTTAAAGCTTGAGGTTGTAACACTGGATTTTCATCTCAAAGCAATCTCACCGGAAACGTGAATAGTATATTATGGTGAAACCTTTCCTTTTCCCTGTGAGTGCGTTTGAATCTTCTTCTATGCATGCATTCCTACCTACAAACTAGAAGTGATTTATAACTACAATTCGTGTCATCAGTTAGACGAAACATACTCCGCTAGTTTAAATAGCAATTAAATTGCCCTAAATCGATCTGAATTTCTTTCCCATTCAGTTTTTTTCAGTTTCAGTGCGTATTGTGTAGAAAGAGTGAGATAGACCTGTGAGACGATGGTCTGGCCGATTGGAGCAGAGAAGAATCGGACGAGTTCGGAGGCGAGTTGGAGTTTAAACTTGGAAGCCTCCAGAGAGATGTCGATTTGGGGGAAATACAGGGCAAGGATATTGGCGAGGTCGTCCGTCACCGTCCATCGCTGATTCTTCGAGTTCCTGGTGTTCTCTTGATGTCCGTACATCGCAATCTACCGCGGAGGAGGTGCCACAGTGGCTCCACCGTTGAAACGTTTTCCTCTTCTCTGATTTTGGCGGGAAAATAAGTTCCGAACGCCAAAGATGCGCGCACGCAAAAGTTACGCAACAGGCCCCGGTTTTCTTTGATGCGGTAGGAGTAGTAGTTTAAAGTTTAAACACTACAAATGGGAGAATGGTTAGGCGGTAAGGCCACCGGCCCGCTTTCATTTATATTACGGTGCAGGCCCAATTACGTACTTTTCGGTGATTTTTCTTTAGGAAGCCCGGCCTTACTGTCCCAATATTAGCCGTACGTAACCGGCACCCTTCTTTTCCTTTCTTTTCTTTTTGGTTTTGTGAATCTATTGCATTTGTTCAACAGGACGCAATAAACGGAATCACCGAGTCAACATAGGCTTCTCAACTTTCATCAAGCCATTGATTCATTTACCATGCTAAGAGCAAATATAAACAGTTACTGTCAAGATTGACGTTTAATTACAGATTCAAAACTTGGCTGCTAACTTCTGTGAAGCAGATGTTCAAGAAAATAAATGTTGGTATAGCAGAATTCCATACGACAAGCTTCCTACTCAAGAAATTTTTTTCTGATCTTTTAAGGGAAAAAGGATTGAATGAGCTCTTGTATATCATTCAATTTTCCATCATCAAGGCCATAGATGTTTATGATTAGGTCATTTCCCTACATGTTCTGCCAAAGGAACATTTTCTTTCTCGTCACTTCCCGATACCGCAGGTAAAATACTCAAAAGTTCACCTTCGCTATCTCTTGTATCTTCACCAGCTTTCTTGGATGGCATCAAAATTCCTTCCCAATCAGTAGTATTTGGATCACGAGTTCCACTCATGCCAAAAATCTTGTGAGCCTTTGAGCCAGCAACTCCATCCATGCCCAAACTTATTTCACTCTCCTGAAGGGATGGAACACCACAATTCTCATGCATGATGACTGCCCCAAAAGCATTGGCTACAACTTGATTAGCTTCTTGTAATTCTTCACATCCAACTTCCTCAACCTTCAAGCAGCTTCCTCCACTTATTTCATCACCGACTTTAATAGATGACATAGAAGAACCTTCTACATTGCTTGTGGGGTGCGAAACACCAAGTGATTTCTCTCTCATGGACATTGGAGAAGACGATTCTTGAGGGTTTACTCTCACTAAAGCTGATACTGTTCTGACATGTGAAAGTTTCCCAAACTTCGGCTTCATGTTGGAGCTCCTACTCGGACTGGGTACAGCAGCTTCCACCTTAGGTAAAGCTCCTAGGCTTGCATGTGATTGCACGGTCCCACTGGGTGTACGAACTGATTTGACCTGCATAACACAGGAACAGGACAACTTTACCATGCCACCTCCTTTAAACAAATACTTCTCCAGATTTTAGTCCATAACCAAAGGATAGATATTTTCCAGATGTCTGGACTTTGGTTGGGAAATTAAAAGGATACAATTTTCAAGGCAGGCAAAGATCTCATCTTGCTCAACCCACTGTTGGCTGCATATGTCTCTATAACTTAGCACATCTTTCTTGACTATCTTATTCCATCACAGGTCCGTACTCTTCTCGACTTTTATAATATACAACATCAACTCCTCTTGATGGTGCATCTGCAGACCATATATTTAGGTGTGATAATATCCTATTTATCTTCTCAGACTAGTATTCCCATCTCACAAGGGTAATTTTTTTCAACTTACCTTGCCTGATACTACCATCTAACAGGTTTAACACTCTGGTTTTCTATGTGCTTAACTTGTGCATTGAAATGTCTTTGAGATGATTCCGACGAGGTTTATCGCAATCCTCATTTTGCATCGTTAACTGCCTGGAATTAACTTCATAACCAAACAAGAAAAAAGAAAAGAAAGACGAGAATGCATAGCTTAAAGTGGAAGCAAAACTAACCCCATCAAAAAATCCAATTTTTGGGGACGGCATTCTCAGGCCTGATGGTCTTGCAGAATGAGAAAGAGTGCCAGCTTGTGAGGAGGATTTCCTTGGACCTCCATTTTGTATCACAATTTCCTCATTCCCATGTTGTTCTATGATCTGATTATTTGAATCATTATGCAAAGGAATGGTGTCATTGTCCAAAGATCTGCAAGAATTAGCATCAAAGCTAGTCCTTGATGTATTGGACCTCTGATTGATTGTACTTGAAGAAGATGAAGAAGCTGAGGACCATTCACTGATAGAACTAGCAGGTGATATGCTTGGAGAGATCTTGGAAGACATCAGATATGCTGAGACAGCAGAATTTCCACAGGTTCTCTTAGCAGTTTTTAATGGGGTTTTGAGCACCGAACCAGAGGGAAGTGGTTTCAAAGTTCTTTCACCAATCTTTCTTCGAACAGCCTCTAAATGAGATTTACCAAGATTATTGGATGACACATTTCCAGAACTATCAACCGAGGAGGTTGTTGCAGATTTAATCTTGGTTGAGTTTGAAGCAGAACTGGAGGAGGACGAAGACTTTGGCAGCACCCTGCGAGGACCACTGATGATGGGCGCCTTTAATGCCTGAACCCCTTTACCAGCAACTGCAAATTGTGGAGTGATTACTTGTAGAAGTATCTGATATTCTGCTCAACTAAATAATATAGATAAGAGGAAATGTTTATTACCGGTGCCAATTGTTGTCTTAGTATTTCCAAGCTTATTGGCTTGACTGGCAGCCAAAGAGGCCCCTTTTTCTGTTGATGTTGATATGGGTTTTACCTGGTTGATTACTGAGGGTGGCTTAGAAAGTGTTGGATTTGAACTGCCATTTCTAACAGTCTACTTCATCAACAAAAAGTAAAATAGAGAATGGGATTAGTCAAAAGAACTTGTTCCATTCAAAGCAAAATTTTTTATGCACCACCTTATGATCACATGTTGGCAGCCAAAGAGGCCCCTTTTTCCGTTGATGTTGAGATGGGTTTTACCTTGTTGATTACTGAGGGTGGCTTAGAAAGTGTTGGATTTGAGCTGCCATTTCTAACAGCCTACTTCATCAACAAAAAGTAAAATAGAAAATGGGATTAGTCAAAAGAACTTGTTCCATTCAAAGCAAAATTTTTTATGCACCAACTTAAGATCACATGTTGTACTTGTCATAGAAGAATAAATTCAAGTTGGATATTTTAGAATGATTAGCTAAAAAACCAACCATGAAAAGACTATAATTCTCATGCCAATACAAATTGAAAACCTCCTAAATTTGTGAACCAGATTTCTGTGGATAGTTCATAGACTAGCAGTATAAGTTCATGAAAGATGTGAAATTCTTTAAAAGACAAACCTGTGCTGGTTGTGAACAAACAGAATCTTGCTTTACTGCTTTTGCTGTGCTTTGCAACCTAAGAGTTTGTTTTGTCTGAGATTTTGATATCCCAACAGGTTTCTGCTTCAGGGAAAATTTTTTACATCATAGTTCAACTCAAACTATAGGAAAATGACGATAATTAAAAGCTGGTCTCCACTTTGTCTAAGTTACCTGATTTTGAGAAGCAAGGTTCATCTTCTTCATTGCTGTCAAATATGAAAAATGATAGTTAGATACAAATTGTTTTTGTGGATACAAGAGGATAAATGTACCTCAATACTAGCACAACAATGAAGTGAAATATCATGGTGACAAGACATCACCAAGATAATCTGAAATGGAAAGGAGCAGATGCTAGAGGATCTTTAATCAGCCAGTTCCAATAAACTTTGTAGGTTTCATCACTTGAAATTTATAGTATGAAGCAAACAGTAAGAATTGCGGAAGTTAATATCTATGCATATTGGAGTAAACAAAATAAGAGCTCCAAAGGGAGTAGTGAGCTGGTACTGTGCAACAGATATTGTTTATTCAATCCATGATGGATCTGCACAGGAAAGGAGGGAAAAACAGAATTAAACTACCAGTCATAGTTTTTTACTAACTTCTCAGGATATTCAATTAATTTTCTGCTGTGAGAAAAGTCATGTAAGCAGTAATGTTCATTTCTCTCTTTCTCCTCAAGACAGTTGCATCCAAATGTACCACAGCCTAATTGCATATTAGTAAAGAAAACTGATCATTGGAGCAAAATGAAAACAAGTAAGAATGAATCAGAAGGTCTTCCTTGTCTTTCAACTGGTGAAGAAGTAGCCAACTTACAAGTAACAGCTTGGCTTTCCCCTGAGGTGATCTTGCAGTTTGCATTCGTAGTATTATATGCTTTACTTGATTTCTGAATAGAGGCTCTAATATCCTCAAACAACTCGGCCTCAAAGTTTTCCAGCGTCAAATCTTCACTCCCCAAGGTAGAGATTGAATCAGTAGATCTTTGCATGTCCTCTTGAATTCCTGGTAATTTTTGCATTCCTTTAATCATGCAAGATAACTCCTCAGGGTCTAGAACACCTGAAAGTGCATAAGCAAGATTAGTACAATTGGAGTTGAGTCATATGCCTAACAAATATATAGTAGAACCCAGATGATACCGGCGCTTGTGAAGAAGGCATTATCCCATGCTAGACTCTTGCGCAAGTTACACTTCCCCTTTCTGCTAGCTCTACTGGGTTCGGAGGACTCATTCAGGTCAGGCAATTGGTCATCCAGTTCACTGCCGGGAGTCACACCTGCTTCTTTTCCAGCAATGAATGATCCTAACGACTCAAAAGTATCGGGCTCCTCCTGCTTTTCTATATAACATAAGAAAGTTCTATCAGCAAAAACATTATAAGAGAAACACAAGTCCAAAAGGCTACTTATAAGAGACAAAGACGGATGGCTATTAAACAAACACTCCAAAACAGATGACCTAAAAGCCACTATTTTCACACAAGATTAACTGACACTATCCAAAGGGCACTTTAACAGTAGGAGCTCTGTTTAAAGGTTTTGCTGACAAAATATAAAACATCAATCTGAACATATCATTCAGAGCCCAAACATCGGAAATTAGATATAGTTGGCTGGAAAAAAAGGGACACCCACTTTCAGTAGGGGGTGATTCATTGAGATAAAGGAACTCAATTCCCTTCAATTGGGCGGTGGATTTGATAATTTCATCAAGATAAATGGCCAGCCTGTCTTGCAATGTAGGGCTACATGAATCTATAGGTCAGTGAGAGGATCTCGATTCATTTGGACTAAGAAAACACAATAAGCAAGAAAAGGGGGAAGTGTCAAAAGAATATAAACCTGAAGATTGGTGATTGTGAAGGGAGAAACGGCTAGCAGAAAGAGGCGAAGGAGACGAATTGAGGATTAGGGCATCATTCTCGTTTGAAAAATCGATAAGGCTCAGCCCTTTCACTTGCAGATCGATTCTATCTGACCCCTCTTCCATTCTAACTTTAACGATAAAATAAAGAATCCTAGAAAAAATTCCTCAAGATTCTCAGCTGAAGAGGCGCGGAGCAAAAAGAGGCCTGGCGGCAGGGCGCTACTCTGCTTCAGAGATCAGTAGTGTTCTGACGGGAATGGGATGAGCGAAAGAGCAATTGTCAAAAAGGGCTGCAGACGGACAGACAATGGAATGAGTGAGAGACAGAGAGCGCAAAGTGGAATTTTTTGAACGTTTCATGGGCGGTTTCTCCAAAAAATTGAATTTGCCCTAACGATTTTTTTTTCTTTTTTTTTTTTCATTTGCCCTGACGACTTACTTATAATCGTCACTTTTTTATTCTTTTATTCTTTTTCTTTCTTTTTTTTCCTTTGAAAATTTAGAAAATAACAATAAAGGGGCATTAGTGGAAAGAAGTTGGCATATACTACTTAACCTACACTATTTTGCAAGTGTATACATAGTTAAACTTTATTTTATAATTTATTCAACTATATATCATTATTTTAATGAAAAATTAAAAGATATTAACATCCGTTTCACCTTATCCTTATCTTGTTTTAAAATTGTGTGTATCTATTATTACTCTAGTGAAAAGGTAAAAAAAAAATTATAACCCCATCACTCGCTTACTCTCTCTTAGTTGAAATAGTAAATTTATAGTAAAAAATTGATCCACCTTATTAAACCAATACACTTCCCCTCCTTATAAAACATGCCTGAAGAACATCAAAGTCGACTAATTCCGAAAGAGTTGCTACTCTCAAGGAAGAAAAAGGCTCGAAATATAAAGTTATTCTTCAAGAAATCCAAAGTGAACAGCCAAAATGGTCTAACTTTCACTTGCACAAAAGTTCAATGAATGATTACAGCAGACAAATCAATTGACTGTCAGATTTCCAAACCAGATGTTTAGTTTTTGCTGTTAAAATCGTTTTTGTTGAACTGCAAGGACTTACTTTATATGTATATATACCAGGTTCTAAATTACCGATGCTCAGTTTCTACCCCGTAGTATTTTCATTTTTGGGTCTGCCTTGTAACGTACTGAAAAGAGATTCAATTTCATCGTTCGACCCAGAAGACAGCTTATGCTAAGTCACTAATCATAAGTACAACGTCCATCTGACTTAAAAAATTATTTTATTTGCTTGTTCTACTTTGCATTGGTATGACTTCTCAACTCATCTTTTACCTAAATGAAATGCCACAACGATGGTCGTACGGTTGAGCAAAGACGAGGGTTTAGGGGTGGGGAGATGGACAAGGAAACAAAAATTAAATAGCAAAGCATGCCAGAAAGGACCACTTCCAACAACTAAAGATCAAAAAGACGACATACTACCGAAAGTCCAACGCTAACTAATCTTGTGATATTAGAGTCATGCATTATTAACCTCCACTTCTACTTCTCAACCCAAATACCATGTTGGGCATATCAACGACAATGGCATTTTTACTAAATTTACAGTTCAAGCTCAACGAAGATCTGCCTCAATACGGTGGTGGCATACTGTGCAGCCTAGCACCTTGCAAATGGAAACAACTGAAATGATAGAGGGCAATTCGTACAATTATTGGCTAGGTCCTGTTACCAAAATTGCCAAGAAGAAAGGCTACAGACAAAAGAAGTCAAACTCAACTGGAAACATAAGCATTATCTACAAAGGCTCAGTAGATTAGCTGTGCATGCTAATCATGTACACGTAATTGCATGGTTTACAGAATTTCTTCACTTTACATTGGTCAGTAAGAGTACACATGTTCCTTCGAGAAAAAAAAAAAAAAAAAAAAAAAAGGAAGAAAGAGTACACATGCTATAGGAGAATACTTAGAACTCATCTCACCATGAAAAATATCACATTGCACTGTCTTCTATTGATATTGCATTCTTTCTTCTTCTTTTAGTTTTGCATGTGGCAGCAGCTTTGCGAGGTGATGTGTATCTACGGCGATAACTAACAAGCGAAAGTCCAAAAATGTTGAATTTTCCAGCACTATTGAAGGCAGTTTCAGCTTCAGAACGCCTCTTGAAGACCACTTTTGCGCGCTTGCTCTTACTTAGAACTTTAGTCTGCGACTCCTTCACTGGTCCATAGCAGTCGAATATATCGTTCAGGTTAGTTATTGAAGGAATAGATTCTAAATAAGTGAAGTTAAGGATCAGACTAGTTTTTATATGACTTTTCATCCACAGGGTACGATCGCACAGGATCTTCTGCTCCCAGTTCAGTAACCACAGGATTCATTTCAAGTTGATTATCCAAGTTTGGATTTGTACCCTCCAAACCTTCTTGTTCAGCAACAACAACATCCTTCTCTCAGGGGGGCTCAGGTTCGAACAGTACCTGATCATCCAAGTTGCTCTGGATAATTCTGTCAGTCCAGTAAGAGTCTTCCATACCTTCAAATTCAAATGCTTCTGCAGCTTCTACATTGGCTGACTTTTTAACTATTTGTTTACCTGATGACTTTGTCCTTTTTTTAAGATTGTTATGTTCCATACAGATAGAGTTGCGAAAATCACAGAAAAAACCAGCTATTGTTGTCAAAGAACTGTAACCTTTCACTGGATTTTCAGCAGCAAGACACAGCTCTGAAAATATCTCACTCATAGAAGGATACTCACAAGGAGGTGGCCTTCTACAAGATTTCTCAGCGGTCAAGGTTGAAGCTCCAGAATAATAAGTCTTTCCAGACTTTTTACTGTGGTTAACTATTGCTCCTTGTGAAATTTTAATGCCAGTGTTAAGAGGGGGAACCGCACCACTATGTAGTTTCCCCGCAAGCCCATGCATGCTATCTCCAACTTCAACGTAATTTCTCAACAATGAAGTTGCAGTTCTTGCACTCTGCATGGAAACCCTTTTCCTCATTCTTTTCGTTGATTCACTGGATGTAGAACCAAGCGCTTTGCGTTTCTTTCCAGAAGATACAGAAGCCTTGTCACTGCTTGCTTTCCCTTCGTCTTCATATCCACCATCTCGAAAGCTCAAGCTGCTTCCAGACATCAAGTCCTGCAAGTGTTTTTTCTTTTTTGTTTTGCGCTCATTATTCAAGGGGAGATCCATGCCCCTGCAAGAAACCCCATGCAAAGGAGACATTTTTTTTCCACATTCAATTTCATTATCTTCCTCAGAACCCAAACCATCATCAATCACTTCAACAAGATTTTTCTCCTCCTGTACTGCAGCAAGATCAAGATCGTTTCCCAAAAAACCATTTAGTTCTTCAAATACAGGTAGTTGGTAATAACCCTTCCATCTATTAAATGCCAATAACTGCGCTCTTGCTATGACAAATTCCAAATCATCAATATCATTATGTGGGGATTTAGCTAATGCCTCCAAAGAGTTGACGAGTTTTGCAGGACTAAAAGCTGCTGCAGTTGAAAAACTATCTCCAGCATATGTCCTGATTGATTTTTCCCAGATACTAGACTTTAAAACCACCTGTGACTTGACCTTGGCACTTACCTCCTCAGGCAAGCATCTGCAGGCCAAGCCAAACTCGACCCTTTTAGAAACCTCAGTCAAGGCAGAGTTCACAGCATTGCAGAAAGCAGTGGCATTACTTTGCTTCTTCATTTGAGAGAAATACATTTGGAATGGCTTTATCTTTGAGGCTTCATTCCATACAAAAGTTTGGTCCCCAAAATAAGCAATCAAATAACTATCTTTCTTAAAATATTTCATTTCTTTCTCGGATGCAGCTGATGGTTCAATTATCTGGCCAGGCCACCATGGATGGCTCCTTACCTTGCCCCATACTAAATCAGACACATAAAATTCGCTTTCCTTTTCCATCTGATTCCCTTCCCCACGACTTTTTGGTATCAGTATGCAAGGCTTAGCATCCTTTCCATCCACTTCATTAAATGGTCCACTTGTTATCACTTCTTTAATTGGTGCTTGTCGGTTTCTAGCAGATACACCATTTTTAATAGTGGCATCTGTAACTTCCGCTAAACCAACAGAAAATGGCAAGCTACCCTCAATCAAAGCCGTTGTACTTTCAGCACCTTGAATAAAAATTCCCTCCTGATGGTGCGAATTCAAATCCACAAAGAAACTTTTTCGATTCCCGCTGTCACCATATTGTGGAAACTCACAAACTCCCATCTCTTCATTGTGATCGGGGTCTATCTTATCTTTAACCTCATTATTGTCAGCACCCTTTAATTGTACATCCAATTTACCATCAGTTTTAACAGTTTCTTGCCCACAAACTCCTCCCTTCCAGGAATACCCCTCGTTTGGCTCAGGTTCTCTATTGTTACCTTCAGTTTCTACCACCAAACTTTTATCTCTTTTCAGACCCTCCATTTCAGCATTCAAGCCCTCGAACCCATAGGTAACAGATGAACCATTCACTTTCCCAAAATCCCTAACCCCAGTCACAGAAAATCCGCCCGGATCGCCAGCAGGATTAGACAGAGGGGTATCATCAACTGGACTCATATCAAGCTTATTCTTGTTGTTTCCTTCAATTGAACGGCCTCGAGGTTTAAGTCGATGTAGTTCAATATCAAAGAAGATATCTAAGAAACCCTATACATAGCATATCAAGAAACAAAACAGGACTAAAGGATAGGCGAGCAAAAATCTTGATAAAAATGAATAACCAAGTTATTATACCACAGTTAGGACATGTCTGGTGTTAAAGCATATGCATGCTATATAAGTGGAAGATAATTTCGTATTAACTTACTAATATCATGAATTAGCTGGCACGCCCGACTTTGCTGGACTCAGCGACAATGATGAGCACCAAACGGCCCGATGAGATTATCGGAGGAAAATGGAAAAACGATGGAGAGACCGCAGATTGAATGTGCTGTATATCTTATAGATGCAGGAAGTGGAGGTGGAGGTGCTCAGCGGAAGTTGTACGGTTCAGTGTTTCCGATTTTTTTTCCCTCTTTTTTTGCTGGGTGGTGCTGCTGCTACTATTTGCTTTATGCTTTCGCGAGAAAGCAAAGGAGGTGGCAGGCCTAGTTGTGAAGCTTTTTAAGTAGAACCTCAGCGTGGACACGTGTCTTCCCCGTGCGACTGTAATGAGATGGTGGGAGGGATGAGTTGGATTGGGTTGAATTGTCGCCTGGCGGCACACGGGCCTGGGCCGGACGATTGGAGGATGTGATCAAGACGTGTAGCGCGCGCATCCTCAAACGTTTTACCACACCAAATACTAGACTAACCAAGAACTTGTGGAGATTTTGGTTGCTTTTTATAATAAAATTGAAATCTAAAAATCGATGTCTAAAATATAAAATTTGAATTCATTAAATTATTAAATTATTAAGTCTTAAAGTATATCATATTAAATGATAAATGAATAGTTTATTATTTATTTTTAGAAGTAAGTTTTGCATACGAAATTCGGATGCTACTTAATTAATTCAAATGTTTAATTTTTCATTATTAAATGCAGATAAACATATTAATATCATATTTCATTAATTTGAAGTAGTGAATTGAGTTATTAAATAAGGCTAGTTTTTTTTTGCATAACATTCATATGAGAAACAATTAGAGAGTTTAATGTGGTTCTTACAATCAATTCCCAAGTCAATCTAATATTTATATTAAAAAGATCAAATTGTCACCGTTGCTTTAGGACATAGACTATGTAGGAGGCTGCTAAATTAATATAAATAAAATATTTTGGCTATTTTACAGTTACTAAAAATTATGAATAACTCATTTAACTTCTCTGTCTGCAAAATATTGGACATTCTGTCCATTTTCAATATTACATCTAGTTTATTCTGTTAAGCCCAAAGACACTTATGGCAATATCGAATAAATCCAAATATGAAAGGATTCTTAGTTAATCAATCATTAATAATGTATAAAATCAAGTCTTTCATTTCAATAATACCATAGGCGGGAGATCATTAAAGTATGCTTATTTTTGTAGTTTATATTAATTAATGTGCAATGATAATACAAGGAAATTGCCATGTATACATGCTACTTGATTTGATGAAAGATATGGATTACCGTCCGGCACCGTTTGGATTAACTGTTTTTTGAGGTGTTTTTTTAAAACTTTACTGTAACTGTGTATATGAAAAACTTTTACTGTAGATGTTTTTTGGATTGTTTTTAGAGATATTTTTTAAAAATATTTTTGAGTATTTTTATAATTTACAATTTTTTTGGGATTTTTTTAAATAAATACTAGCTCTGTTTCTATATATAAATATTTATTTATTTATATATATAATATTTTTTATTTCAATTTTGTTTTATAACATGTATATTTATATATGTATATTAAATATATATTAATATACATATTAATATATATAAATACATATTAATATACATATATTAATATACATATTATAAAACAAAATTGAAATATATATATTTATATATTTATATAAATATATTTTAAACAAAATATTTATATTTATATATAAATATATATATATTTATTTAAATTGATATAATATATATAATATACATATTTGAAATATACATATTAATATTAATATAATTTATATATATACTATAATATACATAATTGAAATACGCAAATTGAAATATACATATTAATATACATATTATAAACAAAATTGAAATAAACATATTTATATATTTATATAAATATATAAATATAAATATAAATATAAATAAAATATAGTTATAAATATGTATAAATATATTTTAAACAAAAATATTTATATTTATATATTAATATATAATATTTATTTCAATTGATATAATATATATAATATACATATTAATATACATAATTGAAATATACATATTAATATTACTATAATTTATATATATAATATAATATACATAATTGAAATATACATATTAATATATATTAATATACATATTATAAAACAAAATTGAAATAAATATATAAATATATTTATATAAATACATATAAATAGATTTATTTATATATATTTATATGTATTTATATAAATATATATAAATATATTTTAAACAAAATATTTATATTTATATATGAATATATATATTTATTTCAATTGATATAATATATATAATATACGTATTAATATACATAATTGAAATATACATATTAATATTAATATAATTTATATATATAATATAATATACATAATTGAAATATACAAATTGAAATATACATATTAATATACATATTATAAAACAAAATTGAAATAAAAAATATTATATATATAAATAAATAAATATTAATATATATATATATATATATATATATAATACAAAACGAAATTGAAATCGAAAAATCTGATTTCTATTTTCGATTTCAAAAACTCCATTACTAAATTCGAGCCAAATTTGCATAATTTGAAATCGAAAATTCCAAATTTTTTTGTATATTTGGAGTTGTTTTTGATATATTGTTTGGATATGGTGGTGTTTTTGGAGTTGTTTTTGTTTGTGTATTACTGTAACATTGTAGATGAAAAAATTGTTTTTCAAAAAATGATGAATCCAAACAGAGCCACAACTAGTGTTAGCGACAGAGTGTAAGTGAAAGATCGTTCCATCGGTTTGGTGCACCACCACCACGACGCAGCTCTTTCCCCGTCTTGAATGTTCAGGCGACACACTAAAACCTCGCAACGGGGTAATTAGCATTTAGCATCAATCATGCAAGTATATATAAGAACCTTGCAAGGAGTTAATTAGCATTTAGCTCATGCAAGTTCCAAATTTAAGCAATGACGGATTAATTTTAATTTTAGAACGGGAGTGAATAGTTAAACATATAATAAAAATGCTATAACAAATAAAGCATACTAAATATGAATTTTAGGCCGGGAGTGAAAAGTCAAACATATAATAAAAAAAAGGATTAATCTTTACTACACTGACAGTGTATACACTATCAGCGTTGGATGAATGACAACTATGCAAAATTTGAATTTAAAATTCAACTTTTGCACACATGTCATGAATCCAACGCTGATAGTGTATACACCGTCAGTGTAGGAAAAATTTACTCATAAAAAAATACTAAAATTCAACTTTTGCACACATGTCATAAATCCAACGCTGATAGTGTATACACCGTCAGTGTAGGAAAAATTTACTCATAAAAAAATACTATAACAAATAAAGCATACTAAACATAAAATGAAAGTTGGATAGATGATTACTAATAATAAGATAGATTTAATTGTAAAAGATAAAACATAGACAAAAACTATATATATATATATTAGACTCTCTAATGTGACAAGAATTGTAAAAGACCTAATTTCTTTTTCAATGTTATATATATAATAGTCACATTATTTCTTTTTTAATGTTATATAATCAATGTATAAGTAAGAACATCATTAAAAGTCTCAATGGAGTTGGCAATGATAGCTATTTAGTTTTAACAATAACGTTCTTACTTATACATTGATCATATTACATTGAAAAAGAAATAATTACTGAAATTACTATTCTGACTTTGTTGATCATTGTAGTTCTCGGAATGGTGGCGAAAAATCTTCCTTTTTCAACCATACCCAATGCCCCCAAAAAAAAAAATCCACACACAGTTGACGAGCACAGCCGCACAAAGAGAGCACAGACTGAAACGAGGGAAATTTCCTTTTTCAAAAAAAAAAAAGAAGAAAGAAGACAAGACAGTGAGTATCATTTGCTCGAAACAACAAATCTCGTATCAGTGACCCAATAGCCCAAAATTCCAGTTCACTAACAAGATAAGAAAGGAAAAATTTGTTCAGAGCTGCGCTCAGCCCGCAATAAGTCCATTCCGCTACTTTAATGCCAGTGGGTAAGAACACATGTAACAAGATTAAGATCTGGGTTTCTCCTTTTTCTCTTTAAAGAGAGCCAGCAGAGAAACGCCAGATACCTTCACCACCTTGAATCTGACACCAGGGATATCACCCACTGCATGCCCCTTACGTCCAAATCCAGCAATTAACACTTCGTCCTGCAACATATAAGATTCTGGGGTTAACCAAGCCATCCAGGAAATAAGACCACAAAAGAAGAGCATTACAGGTACTACAAGGCTTACATTTTCTTCAATGTAATTTAGACAACCATCATTGGGGACAAAAGCCGCAATCTTCTTTCCATTCTTAATGAGTTGAACCCTAGCGCACTTTCGAATGGCAGAGTTTGGCTGCTTAGCCTCAATACCTCTGCACATGTCAAACAACTTCTTAAACTTAGATACCAGGCGACAAAGTATTGAAGTCCTAATCATGAACCAAAGGAATATATGCAAGGAAACACATCTCACATTTTCTCAAGGACAATGCCCTTTGCATGGGATGAACCAGCAAATGGTTTTTTCCATTCGTTTCCGAGATGTGACTTCTTATAGGACTTATCAGCCCACCTTTGCCTCCTACGGTGGGACTTCAGCTTGCGCCCGGCTCCCATACCTCGTGTCTTCCTGTAAAACAATTTACAAGGTAGTATGTCAACCCGTTCATCGAGGTTCACAAAACCCAGAAAATCCACCAATCAACCAGGGTTTATGAACCAGTCACAAAACCTCAAAAAGGGCAAAGCATAGGAAAAAATAATTGACAAACACAATGGGTTTGATTAACCACCCAAGCAAATGTCTCTTGGAATTGGCGGTAAAAACAATGCTTCCAGATTTTATCAAAATGCAATCTAATCCCAATCCTACAGAAATGGTGCAACATATCAAATGGGCCAAACCTCGCCTTATGACAACATGTTACAACATTATCATTCGAAGGTACTGAACTCTTTCAATAATTCTTCCAAATGTCCGAAAGGGAAAAAGTTTTAAGATTACACCAACGGTACATATCTATTGAACCAAAAGAATACAAGCTAAAACACATTTTACTAAAGATATATCATGATAAGTGAGCGCAAACCAGAGAAGTCCCTCGGAAAAAAAAAAGTTATCCTCCCCAAAAATTTTGATTCATCAAATGCCCAAGTCCCAACAACAAGAGGGAAAAACTTGAGCTATGTCCAAGAAAAAA